AATAGACACGCGCTAAGTATTGGTCAAATGTAGGAATCCTAAGGCTTTATCCTCAGTTCTTATCTGTCTCTCTAGTTGATGTCATTCACACAAATGGCCTTTTAATCACCATCTCTATGCTGAGAACACCTTACTTTATATTTATAACCCTGAATTCTCCCTGAGCATATTTAATAGACATCTCAAAATCAACACTTTCAACTGTCTCCAAATATGTTCCCCTTCCCTTCTTCCCATGTCACCACAGCGGGCCGTCCTCATCATTTGCTCACACCAATAATCTAGGCACTTCTGATTTTTCTTCCTAGTGTTTACTATTTCAATCCATTACCAAATCCTGTTCTTTTTCATTCTAAAATATTCTCTAATCACTGGCACCACCCATCACCAAACACCGAGGTCTCTTATAGGTATCACTACTTCCATCTTGTCTCCCAGAATCCATGAGCCTCAAAGGAGGCCAGGGACTATTGTTAAAACACAGATCACTTCAACTTCCTGCTGACAATCCCTCAATGGTCTCCAACCATACTAGAAAATCCAAGTGACTTTCCAGGGTCTCCAGGACCCTGCCTACCTCCATCCTCATCTCTGCACTCCCGCCTGCTCACTTCACAGAGGTTACCTGGCTGCCCAGCTCCCCACCAGCATCCCAAGGCCCTTCTTACCTCAGACCCAGTCTTCCCCTAACTAGAACCTTTCAGGCACTAGTTCTCAGCTCACATTTTCCTAGTTTGTTTTCTCCACAGCACACATCGCCATCAAGTACTATATTAATTATTGAATTCATTATAATCACTTGTCTGTTACCATGAACATTTCTTGAGAGCAAGGATTTTGTTCTGTCTCCTTTGCTATTGTATCCCCACTTCTAAAAAAAAGTGACCCCTAAACTCCCTAAGTATCATGGAACAGAGACTGTGCAGGGAATCTCCTGGTCCAGGGCTTATATACAAAAAGGACAGGTGCATGCTTAGAGCAGAAGAACCAGGCCTCCCTGAGCTAACTGGCCGTGACCTAGTGGTGGGAATTGGGAGGGTGGGTGTGGATTGTGGGGTCTCCTGGCTGCAGAGACCCTAAGCCCCTGCCTCTTTGGCGGTGGGTGCATCACTCCGAGGTCAACCAGGCCAGGCCAGATACTGCAAACCTGCCGTCCTCAACCTCCAGTTGGGACAAACAGATGTTCAGACTGAAGGGCGGAGGTGGTAGGCAGGATGCGGCAGATGTAAAACAGAAGTGGTAAAGGTCTCAGGCCCCCAGTTAGTGACCCCTTTAGCGTCTAAGAAGGCTGAGGACCAAGGTGCTGGCTGGCGCGGGGCAGGGTGGGGCGGGGTGGGGTGGGGAGCGCTGCAGGGTGGGTTGGTGGGTGCGGCCCTTGACTCCGCCCCCCCGGCGCCGCTGGAGGTCGAAGCTGAGCGGGTGATTGTGGCGTGGTGGTGCCAGGACACCCGACCTGCGACCCCGCGGCGACGGGTCTCGCTTGTGGTCTGATGTGGGTCTGGACCTGCGCACATTCCCGAGTACAGCCGGTCCCAGGCTGAGATGGAGCGGGCGCTGCGCCAGTGGCAGGCGGTTCAGCACCTGCTGGCAGAGGTGAGTCCGGAGTGTGAGCTGGGCGTGGGTCCGGGGCGTGGAGGGAGGCAGTCTCTGGGGTATTGGCAGTTCGAGGAGGGGCCAGGTTAGAAGGAGTGGAGGAGGGCACTGAGGGCTGTATTCACCAGACTTTGATGCCTGTGCTGGGCGCTGGAAGTAGAAATGTTTCAGGTAACTTCCAGGAGCGGGACTCGAACAGGGAGGAAAGAAGACAAAGTGAGGAAGTCAGCGGAAAGTGGGCTGGGAGGAAAAATTAAATATTAAGTGGAGCCCCGCTAAGTGGTAGGCTTTTGCCAGGCCCTGAGAATACAACAGCGACTTTTCTATAAGATAGTACACTCACCATTTTATTAATTAATAGTTGAATGATTGACGTGTACAGCAGCTGTGCAGGAAAAATATTGGGACCATGAGAAAAATAGCAGAGCTGATTCCAAAGGTAGGAAGACAGCTGAAGATCTGGTCTGGGTCCGGAGAGACAGATTATTTGAAGGCTTGCAGGTCCTGAGGCCAGAGATGGTACACCTACATCTTGGAGGAAGTGAAAATTGGACCTTAAAGCTGAGGCCAAGAGAGTGGCTCCAGAGGAGGGGAAGCCGGGACCTGGGGCACAATGGCAGTCATGCAGGGCTTGAGTTGGTTATTCCAAGAGTCTATAATGTGCTCGATGAGTTCCAACATGATCAGTCACATTTTAAACTGTCACTTTTAAGAGGGTCCTGGCAGATGTGGGCAAAATTTAAGGCAATAGTTAGAAAAGCTATGGTGATAATTGAGGCAGTAATTAAACTGGCAGCGATGCAAGTGGAGATGGGAAACATAGAATGAATTCTGGAGAGGTTTTTGGAGTAGAATTGGTTTGGAGTAGATGTTTGGAGGAGAAATAGCTCCATTTGGAGTAGAATTAGTAGAATTACGTAAGAATTGGTAATGACTTGGATCTGGGAGGTGAGGGTGGCTTACCAAAATTCTGGCCTACACAATTGGTTGAGAATACTGCTGACATTTTCTGAGAGCACAAGAGGAGGATCAAGATTAATAGCTGAGTGGTTTTTGTTTGTTTTTTTTTTTCCCCTGGAGGTGAATGGGGGTGGGTAAGGTTGCCTGTGAGTTTTGTGCTTAGTCCTTTTGAAGTACGTGTGGGCTATCCAAATGGATTGAATGTTAGGCTGCTGGAAGTTTCTGGAGAGGTATGCCTTGGAGCTATTGATTTAAGAATGATTGGAATATAAACAGAAATAGCTCCATTAGCAAGAGAAAGATGGCCCTGAGAGAAGAGTTAGGGAAACTCACTAAGGAGACTGAGTGAGGAGGAGGGCTAGAGAGAACAGAGGAGAAAAACCAGGAAAGGGGCTGTGACTCAATCCAAAGGAAGGAAACATCTAAAAAGACTATGCCCAGGAGTAAGAAACTTTTGACCAGTCAAACAAGGAGTCAGGCAAGTGTTCAGAAACAGGACAGACCTTTGGCCAATCTTTATGGCACTGAAGAACAAGTATAAACAATGCAAGCTGGTAGACTCTGATGGGCTGCTTTCTGCTAAATCATGATGTAATTCAAATTTGGGTCCAGAACTGCAATAGGTTGAGCACCCCGCCCCTTCTGAATGTTGTCCATCTAACCATGAGTCTGGCGTCTTGCTCTGTCTTCCAGTCACTTGGAGGACAGCAAACACTCATAGGTCTGCGCTTTTGAAACAGCTTGTCAATTTAAGAAAAATCAGAATTCCCCCCTCCCTCCTTGTTTAAAATGGGTAGGGGGGGTATTTTTGTCACGTTGTTAAAGTCTTTGCTACTGTTCTTGCAAGATAAGCAGAAAAGACCACAATGGTTTCAAGGAGTGTTTAAACATATAAAAAGACTGCTGTGAAGCATGAGGAAAATAATAGGCTCATTACTGAGAAGAAGGGAAAAGAGACTGAATACTCTGGAAATATTCATCCAGTAAACACTTTTTGGGGGCCTGCTTTCTGTTTCTTTCTGAATATATAGTGATGAATAAAACAGGAAATTCTCAATATTTTTTTTAAGATTTATTTATTTATGCATAGAAGAGTTGGGGTACAAGCCAGAGGTGTGTGGGGGGGGGTAAGAGGATTCACCAGAGACAGAGTGGGGAACAGAACAGGCAGATCGACTGAAATACACTGCTGAGGGGAGCAGCGGCAAGACAGGCGAGTTCTGCTGCGCCATGAGTGTAGCTCCCTGGCCAGGGATCGAACTCATGGTGCAGTGGCTGCGGACAGCTTCATAGGTTCCGTCTCAACCCCTTGCGCCACCAGGGAGGCCTGATCTTCTCAGTCTTTCTAGGACTAATTTTTTGTCAGTAGTCAAAACATAAATCTATCAAAATTAATTTCTTAATATTATTTCAGATATAATTTTTATTCAAATTCACCTAGTTTCCCTAATATGTCCCTTATAGCTGATAATGTCCAAACTAGGATCCAATTAAAGGTCACACATTACATGCATCTGGTAATTAGTCTCTTTGAAATTACAAGTCTTCTTTACTTTGAGCTCTGTAAAGTAGAAATTTTCTTAGAATCACTTGGTGATTTTGAAGTAGGTTTCTTACAGAAAGGCAAAATAAATGCTTAATTCTCTCACTTCACTTAGCTCAGATAATGGCTGATCTTTGTCACTTTGGGCTCGTGAATTTTCATAGATTCCGACCTATTAATATTAAAATTAATCATTATACTTTTTGATTCTCCAATTGTCACAAATTTGGCCCATGGGAATCTTTACTGTGCCCTTTTTTAAACATTAAAAAAATTTGGTAAAATCTATGTAGCAAAAAAATATTCTAACCACTTTTAAGCATAGAGTGCAGTGGTATTGAGCATGTTCAATTTTCTGTGCAACCATCACCACCACCCATTTCCGCAACTTCTTTCATCTTCCAAAACTGAAAACTCCTTAGCCACCATACACTAAATTCCCGGTCTTCCCCATTCCTTCCCAGGTAACTACCTTTCTACTTCGTGGCTCTTTGAATCTGACTCAAGTACCTCATGTAAATGGGATCATACAACATGTGGTCTTTTGTGACTGGCTTATCTCATTTAGCATTATGTTTTCAAGGTTCGTGTACGCTGAAGCAGGTGTGGGAATTTCCTTCTATTTTTAAAGCTAAATAATATTCCACTGTGCCTATATACCACATTTTGTTTATCCATTCATTTGTTGACGGACACTTGGGTCATTTCCACAGTTTGATTATTGTGAATATGCTGCTTTGAACATGTGTATACAAATTTGTTGCAGTCCCCGTCTTTAACTATAGTTTTGCGCCCTGAAATGGAATTGCTGCATGATAGGGTGATCCTACTTGAATTTGCTAGGAATGCCATACTGTAACAAGGTGGTCCCCAGGAAAGGGGGAGGTTCCAGGTTTCCTGCCCCACCCAAGGGAGGGTGGAGCTGAGCCGGGAGAGAAGAAGCTGCAGAGGAGACAGAGAAAGGAAGGAAGCAGGATGGAGAGTCAGAAGGAGACCTGGAGGAGGTGCATGGAGCCGAGAGACACGTGCAGAAACTACGCTTGCCTTTTGGTTGTGGACTGGGTGACACAGATGTGGGTGAGAGAGGTGACAATGGTGTTTTTTTTTTTTTTTAAGATTTATTTATTTATTTATACAAGCACTGGGTACAGTCATAAGCGCGGGAGGGTGAGAGAATTCACCAGAGCCAGAGCGGGGAGCAGAGCAGGCAGAAGGACCGAAGTACACTGCTGAGGGGAGCAGCGGGCGGCAGGAGAGGTCTGCGCGCCATGGGGGACCCTCCACCGGTGGCCGGGGAGCAGCCGGGGATCAGCCGGGGATCGAACCGGCGCTGCAGAGGCTGCTGGCAGCTTCGCAACCCAGCGCTCAACTGCTGCGCCACCAGGGAGGCCTGACAATGGTGGTTTTTGTCTTGATTTTGATTTTGCTCTTTTCCTTCCAGACTTATCTGGTTGTTTCTGATCCTTTTCTGTGGATCCCCACTGGAAGATGCTTTAGACTTGTGGCAGGCTTTGGGGCCTTGCTCTGGGCCAATCCCATTTGGATGGACTTTTACCCACGAGGGGACGGGTAACTTTGGGTGCTTGATTTAGAAACTATATTCTTTGCCTTTCCTGTACGGTTTCCTAGTTGTATTAAAGTTCCTTCCCATTAAAGTCATATATTTTGTGTCAATATGGCGGATGGCAGAACCTATTTTAGAGCAGGCAGTTTTGCCGGGTCTGGGCTGCCCCTCTCCCTGCCCTGTAACAATACTGTTTTCCATAGTGACTGTGCTATTTCCATTTCCTCTAGCAGTGAACAGGAATCCAGGTTCTCCACATCTTGTCAACACTCTTTTTTGGATAATGTCATTCTAATGGGTGTGAATTGGTATCTTGTGATTTTGATTTGCACTTCCTACTGATGAGTGATGTACATCTTTTTACTTGCTTATTGGTCATTTATTTGTGTGTCTTAAGAGAAATTTCTGTTCAAGTTCTTTGCTCCTTTTTTTTTTAATAGGATTTATTTATTTATTTAATAGAGGCATGTTTTATTTTATTTATTTATTTGTTTGTTTTGTTTATACATGCACTGGGTACAGTCAGAAGCGCGGGAGGGTGAGAGAATTCACCAGAGCCAGAGCAGGGAGCAGAGCAGGCAGAAGGACCGAGGTACACTGCTGAGGGGAGCAGCGGGAGGCAGGAGAGGTCTGCGCGCCATGTGGGACCCTCCTCTGGTGGCCGGGGAGCAGCTGGGGATCGAACTGGCGCCACAGAGGCTGCGGGCAGCTTCACAACCCAGTGCTCAACCGCTGCGCCACCCGGGAGGCCCTCTTTGCTCCTTTTTGAATCAAGTTTTTCTGTTAAATTTTATAGGTTAATATAATAACTATATCTATATTTTGGTTATTACTCCTGATCAGATGTGATTTGCAAATGTTTTCTCCTATTGTGTAGGTTGTCTTTCTATTCTGTTGATAGTATCCTTTGTTATAAAAAAGGTTTTAATTTTGATCAAGTACAATTTTGTCTATCTTTTCTTTTGTCTATGTCTTTGGTATCATATCTGAGAAATCACTGCCAAATCCAATGTCATGAAGCTTACCCCCATGTTTTCTTCTATGAGTTTATTAGTCTTAGATTTTGATAAATTTGATTTAGATGCCTTTTATTTCTTATTCTTGCCTAATTGTTCTGGCTAGGATTTTCAATACTGTGTTGAGTAAAAGTGGCGAGAGTGAACGTTGTTGCCTCATTCCTGACCTAAGAGGGAACGCTTTCAGCTTTTTATCATTGAGTATGATGTAGGCAGTGTGTTTGCCATATTTGGCTTTTATTATGCTCAGGTATGTTCCTTCTATACCCACTTTGTTAAAAGGATGTTGACTTGTCAAATGCTTTTTTCTGTATCTATTAGATGACCATATGACTTTTAAATTTCATTTTGTTAATGCGGTGTATCACATTGATTTTGTGTGTGTTGAACAAACCTTGTATCCCTGAAAAACACTCCATTTGATCACATGGCTTTTTTTTTTTTTTAATAGAGGCATGTTTTATTTATTTATTTGTTTGTTTGTTTGTTCGTTTTTGTTTATACAAGCACTGGGTACAGTCAGAAGCGTGGGAGGGTGAGAGAATTCACCAGAGCCAGAGCGGGGAGCAGAGCAGGCAGAAGGACCGAAGTACACTGCTGAGGGGAGCAGCGGGCGGCAGGAGAGGTCTGCGCGCCATGTGGGACCCTCCTCTGGTGGCCGGGGAGCAGCCGGGGATCGAACCGGCGCCGCAGAGGCTGTGGGCAGCTTCGCAACCCAGCGCTCAACCGCTGCGCCACCAGGGAGGCCCACATATGGCCTTTTTAAGTTATTGTTAATTTGCTGGCATTTTATTGAGGATTTCTGCATCTTTGTTCATCTTGGGGCGACTGTAGTTTCTTTTTTTTTGTAGTGTTTGCTTAGTTTTGGTATCAGTGATGATGGTCTTTTCTAGTAAGTCTAGCTAAAGGTTTGTCTATTTTGTTATTCAAAAAAAAAAAAAACAGTTTTTGGGCCTCCCTGGTGGCGCAAGGGTTAAGATGCAATTTATGAAGCAATCCGCAGCCACTGCAGCAAGATTCTCGGCCACCTAGGGAGCAACCCTAATGGAGTCTCCTGACTCGCCCACTGCTCCCCTCAGTAGCGTACTTCGGTCTACCTCCCTGCCGTGTTCCCCACTCTGTCTCTGGTGAATCCTCTCACTCCCCACACCTCTGGCCTGTACCCCAGCTCTTGTATGCATAAATAAATCTTAAAAAAAAAACAAAAACAAAAAACAGCTCTAGTTTCATCGATCTGTTCTACTGTCTGCTTAGACTTTTTCATTTATTTCCATTGTGGTCTTTGTTGCTTCCTTCATTTTAACTTCAGGTTTTTTTCTTTTTCTAGTTCTTTGGGGTATAAAGTTAGATGATTTACTTGAGCTCTTTCTCATTTCTTAAGGTAGACATTTTTTGCAATGAACTTTCCTCTTAGAACTGCTTTTGTTGCATCCCATATGTTTTGGTACATTGTCTCAGATTTTTTAAAAATTTCTCTTTAGGCAGCACTCCCACTGCCCACCTGTGACTATGCAGGTAGCTCTCTTTACCAACTCTCTCCTCTGCAGGGCATCAGCCTTGCTGCCTGCCGGTGACCTGTACCATGCTGGAACTTCTCTTCACTGACCTCCCTCGATGGAGGCAGCTCTCCTCAAGGCCATCTGCCTGCAACTATGCAGGCTTCTCTCAGCAAACCTGTCCCTTTCCCTAATAAACCTGTTCTTTAAATATATAAAAAAAAATTCTCTTTAAATTTTTTTTGTTTCAGGGCCTCCCCGGTGGCGCAGCAGTTGAGCGCTGGGTTGCGAAGCTGCTCCGCGGCCTCTGTGGCGCCGGTTCGATCCCCGGCTGATCCCCGGCCACCGGAGGAGGGTCCCACATGGCGCGCAGACCTCTCCTGCCGCCCGCTGCTCCCCTCAGCAGTGTACTTCGGTCCTTCTGCCTGCTCTGCTCCCTGCTCTGGCTCTGGTGAATTCTCTCACCCTCCCGCGCTTCTGACTGTACCCCGTGCTTGTATAAACAAAACAAACAAACAAACCAGCAAACAAATAAATAAAGCATGCCTCTATTAAAAAAAAAAATTTTTTTTTGTTTCATTGTTCAATAGCATATTTAATCTACAGATATTTGTGAATTTTCCAGTTTTCTTCTTGTAATTGATTTCTAGTTTCATACTATTGTGGTTGGAAAAGATGCTTGATATAATTTCAGTCATAAATTTTTTAAATTTGTCTTGTGCCCTAACATTTTCTATCCTGGAGAATGTTCCATGTTACTGTATTTCTTTTTTTCCCCTTTTTTCAGTATTCAAAACCTTTTTAATCACAACGCAGAATCTGGAGTTAGTTTTTTGTAGTCACAGCTGATTGGTTGACCTCTGGCACACTTGAACTTATGACCCTTGGAGAACTCTTAGGGCTTGGTATAGCTGTGTGGGGTTCTCAGCACCTTGCTGAAATGCCTATGTACCTCTTGGCCTTTGTGCAGACCAGAGAGCAGATGATTCCACAGCCCTTGGGGTCTATAGGGTCTTCTGTTGAAGGTGAGGATCTTGCTCCCACCTTGATGGTGTGGTTGCAGGTACTCACATGCAGGGTGCATATGTTCAGTTTGGGCACCTCCTGGTCACACATGCCATCTGTTACAGTCCCTTTCTAGCCAGGTAGCATCTTCTGGATCATCTGGGAAAGGGCCCAGATGTGGAGTTGGTTTGCCTGGCCAGAAACACCTGAACAGCTTGACCAAGAGCATTAAGTAGATGTCCCAGCTCTTGGGATCCTTACATTGAATCGTTTGGGCCATGTTGTGGATATCAATGGCACCTTCTGCTCAACCCTGTTTTGGTTTTCATTTTTGAATGGCTCAGTCTTTTCTGGACCCTCTCCGTGGAGGAGTAGGTGGGAGATGATAGAATATCTTTGCCAATTTTTCAGTTCCTGGGCTCCTATGTTACAATGGTGGACAGCCATTTTAAAAAAAGATTATTGGATTCTATCTTGTTTCAAAGGTTCTAATACTTATTTATTTCATTTTCCTTATCCTTATTAACTTCTTATCTGCCTCTTTTTCTTGTCTTTTCCAATGTCTGTAACCTGTTCCATTTTCCACTGTTAGACCCTCTTCTGTATGTTAATAATTACATTTGGCTTGTAAGTTTTCCTAAAGCCAGGATCAATCTGAAGCCTCCGTTCTTCCTTCCTTCATGGCTTTCTGTACCCATTTTGTTGGTTTGGGAGTTTCTTTCATCCTATACTTAAGTTTAAGTGTTTTCTCAGAGTTTTTCCTGAAGGTGTAGGTAATGGAATATTTTATTTGCTCTTCATTGCTTTTTTAAAAAAGATTTCTTTATTTATGCATACAAGAGCTGGGGCACAGGCCAGAGGTGTGGGCGTGAGAGGTTTCACCAGAGACAGAGTGGGGAACAGAACAGGCAGATTGACTGAAGTACACTGCTGAGGGGAGCGGCTGGGAGACAGGAGAGGTCTGCCATGCCATGTGGGTAGCTCCCTGGCTGGCCAGGGATTGAACTCGTACTACAGTGGCTGTGGTTAGCTTCATTGGTTGCGTCTTAACCCCTTGCACCACCAGGGAGGCCCCTGCTCTTGATTGCTTTTTATGAAATAAAAGACAGTCATACCAAGGGGGAAAAGTGGCTTGAGTCACATAGGTTTCCTCCATGTTCCTATCAGCTAGGTCTACACTGTAGCCCAGATTGGAATAGCTTGAAGGACTGAACTAAGATTGGTTTTTGGAGATGGGGTGGGGGAAGACATATGGAAGTGGAATTTGAGATGGATGAATTATGTCTGACTCTTTTTCTCCAAGGATACCGAGAAGTCAGTGTCCATCCTGGACACGTCTACCTGTCCTGGAAACAGTGGCGTGCACACCTCTTGGAATCCTGATCCACAAGGCATTCAAAACTTCCCTCAGTGTACAGAGCTGGAGAAGACCCCCTTGGCTTCTGCAGAGGCAGCCAGACTTAATGCTGGTGAAATGCGGCAACAGTTCAATATGCCAATGCCTGAGCATGGTGTGAACTACTGCCCCCAAGTGACTCTCACTCCATCCCAGAATATTTACTGTCAGGGAGTAGCTCCCTCCCAGCCTGAAATGATGATTTTTGAGGGCCCTCAGACAATGCCTTCAGGAAAAGCCAATATTCCAGGGATGGCCATGACTTACGGTGGGAATATAAGGATGACCCCCAATGTGCCACCTATCTCAGCTCCCATTGGAAGTCCAATGATGCCCCCCATCAGTGCACCAGCAATGCCTTATTGTGGCACCCCTGTAGTACCCTCTAGCAGAGACTCTTTAACACCTAAAATGTTAATGACCCCAACCATGCCTTCTGCGGAGGGGCAGGCAATGCATCCCTGTTTGACTCAGATGTTGCCCCCTAGAAATCCTCATGATCTTGGGATGCCCCCAGCTAGGACTTCATCATTGCTGGTTTTAGAATCCCAGAACTCTCTTGTAAGCCAACCTGCCTCCCAGACAGATCCCTTCCTACCTGAGCAGCCCATACCTGCACCACAGAGAGCAGAACAGAACTCCAGGCCCCAGGAAAGGGCTCCCAGGAGATCTCCGGTTTCAAGGCCTTACCTCTGCCAGTTTGAGAACTGTGAAAAAGCTTACACTAAGCGCTCCCACCTCGTGAGTCACCAACGCAAACACACAGGTGAATGTGGTAGCAGACAAGTGGGCCAGGAGTGGGGGTGGGGAGACTCTGAGATTTAGATTTGCACTGGACCACTGCTTTGTCGTGGTTTGGCATTATTCCATCAAACTTGGGACCAAGCTATACCGGCCCGACTGACTAGCATGTTCAGTCTGTTACAACTGCGTCAAGATATAATGGGGAACTGGTGATTGTTGTCTCCTCACTGGTTTCTTAAGTTTTTTCTTTTGATTCCTCAGCCTTCACTACTGTGCCTCATAAGTTCAGGCCCCTTCCCTTCCCACCTACTGGTCTATTCCTCTACTTAATTCCTTCTCTCTCTTGTCATCCCTACAGGCCAGAGGCCCTATAAATGCAGTTGGGAAGGCTGTACATGGTCTTTCTTCCGTTCCGATGAGCTTGGACGACATGTTCGGATCCACACCAAATACCGACCACACAGATGTGATCAGTGTGGCCGGCAGTTCATGAGATCTGACCATCTCAGGCAACATCAAAGGACTCATCTGCGCATGCCGTGTTCCCCAGATCCACAGGCTAACAGTGGACACATGACTGGTCCTCCTGCTTCTGGCCTCTAGGCGGTCTGCCCCTCATTTTGGCTTCTCCACCCAGATCCTGCCTGCTTCTGACCATCTAGTCCCTTTGGTAGGTGTAGGGTTGGATGAAGACAGATTATGAGGCAGGGTTGAAGCCCATGTGAAGCTCTGGACCCAGCCAGGGACTCCTTAAACACCGTCTTTTGAGTTTAGCCACGTGGGAGGATGGAGCAAAGTAGAGATTGGATCTTTATGGAAAAAGCTCTTGTTCTTATGTCACTCCCCAGCTTGAAACCTTTTAGTCACTCTCCTTTGCCTACTTCATAAAATCCAAGTTCTTTATCTTAGTCTTCCACAGTTTCCAGAGCCCAGACTATGTTCAACTCCTGAATTTACCACTTACTAGCCATGTGATCTTGGGGAAAGACTTTGATCACTCTGCCTTCTTTCCTTTTATGGAAAATGAGAAAAAAATATTGGCCTGTCTTGGACACAGGTCTTTGAGTCAGGTTCTATCCGGCACTCACCAGCACATGCCCAGAGTTCCTGTCTCCTCCTACCACGTAGAGACTTGGACAGAACTCCCCCACAGGGCTTGGGATTTGGTATCTCAGGTAGCCATTATAGCCCAGAATGAGGGGGAGTTGCTCCCCCCTTGGGTAAAATTTGACTAATGGGAAATGGGAGAGAGCCAGGCAGATAAATTCCCTTTTCTTCCTTCCCTTCCTTGAATTGCTACAAGGCATCGTTTCTCCAGGCAGTACCACACTGGGAAGAACTCCCACGTAGCCAGTACTGCGAAGAACTCCCAGGTAGCCAGTGGACGTACCTGCAGTGCTTCCAGGCTTGTCGTGAAGCAGGACCCAACCGGGTGTTCCCTTGCTTTACCTCCCATTCTTCCCCGCCTTGCTTCCCTTTTCTCACCCTCAGTGTCCTGGGTTTGTACCTACCAAATAAAACATCAGTACTTAGTTCTTGTTTTAACCCTTGTTTTCCAGGTGACTTAGTAGTGGAGGACGTTAGGTTGGGGAGAGGATGAATCTCATTGTAATTTCCTTTACCCCCAGCCCCCCAGGCCAGCTTCCTGGACTACCAAATAGCAAGGTCTTTCCTTCCCTTGGGTGAGGGCACCAAGGACATGACCATCCTGATAACTCAGCTAGGTAGTTCAGCACCCCCTTTCTGGGCTTCTTTGCCAGCTGTTTTTATTAGGTAACACATTAAGAGAAAACGACTCCTCCAAGTTGTCAAGTAGCAGAGCTGGATCTCAAGCAGCATCTGTGTGAGATGATGCCATCTGCGGGTGTTGCCTGAGCCCAGTATGGTGCCAGCACTGACAGGAGAGGACTGGCGAGAGGTGAATCAGGTCTGGTTCTCATGGTCAAAGGGCCGTCTTGGTCTAGGAGCTGAGAGGTCCACTTTAATGCAGTGGCCCCCAGAGAGGAGCACCTACTCCTCTCTGGAAAGGAGAAAAGGAAAGGCCAGAAAGGCTTTCTTGGGGAGACCAGCCTGCACTCAGCAAGCTGTGCATGTAACATTCAGTGGCCCCCATGAAATGAGCTGAGCAGGTGAGTGAAGAGGACACAGTGCTCCAGACAGTGAGAACGCTGGACCTGGCGACTGCTCTACTGTCCATGGCAAATGATGCCAAGCGCCCAATACAGACAGCCATCATGGCTATGGGGTCACAAAGACAAGGAAAGGGTCTTTCATGGAAGAAAGACTCCCCTAGAGGCCCTGAATCAGCCCTAAAGGGTTCCCAAGTGTCAGCCAGGTCCCGGATGTCTACCCTCACTTGCGCTCTGTGCCAGCCGCTAAGAACTTGATGGTGTCTTTCTTCAGGGCTGAAAGATCACGGACAAAAACTGAAAGCTTCAGTGATGTCAGGGAGAGGAGCTGAACTTCTGGGTTCAAACTTAGTCTGAGCATCTGGAGATCTAAAACCTTGTCTGTGCTTGCCTCTCCACCACCCGCTGCGTGGCACCTTGGTCTGTGACTCTAGCACACCTGGACTTGGCATCCAGGTGCCTTGCAGCCAAACTCTAAGGGAAGCAGAAATGATTTTTAAAATAATAGGGGCACAGGATGCTCATTTGTGGCCAATTACTGGCCCCAGGCACTGTCACCTTGAGTCTTATTCCCACCTGGGCACTCAGTCCCTTTTCCGGAGCAGGGCAGTGGCCCAGCCTGGTGCCTGCTGCCCCACCTGCCTCGCAAGCAGTCATTTGGGTGGGGTAGATAGAAAGTTTGCATGTTGACGGAAAGCAAGGCAAGAAGTCTGGTGGTGACCTACCCTTGCACCCAAGGGTGAAGGGGGACAGAGTGGGCGAGGGGGTGTCATGTGGTAGAGGTCACTTCTAATGGAGGAGGATAGTAAGTTCAAAGTGTGAGGAAATGGTGTGGCTTGAATTCAGAATTATGGGTTAACTAGGAGTGAGGGGGTGAATGGGAAAAGAGATCAGTCTGTCCTTTATCAGTCATTACTCTTTGCAGGCACTGGCTAAGAATTTCCCAGTGGGTGGATGACCTGGTGGGCCCTCCCTCAGTAAGATCACTAGACTTTTTGAAACTTGTCTCTACCTTTTCCTGGCTATTTGGCCTTGGGCAGTTTACCCTTGGTTGCTTAGACAATAAATGGGGCAAAACTGATAGATTTTAACAGAAGATGGGATAAATCCCCTTTTTAAAATGGTTTGATTGGCTTAAGGAAGAGCAGGACTTTGGTGCTCCAGGTGAGCTGGAAGGTGGCTTGGATTAGGTGTGGTAGTCAAGGCAGAGAACAGGATTTGGATTTAAGGATAACTTCCAGGTTTCTAGATTGTGTTAAAGGAAGAACCAGACAAAGTGCAGTATTTGCTATTTTATTATAATATGTACAATTAATACATATACAAAAAACAGTGTAAAAATACAAATATGTACAATAATAATTGATCATATCTCCACCCCCATCCTCCATAGAGGTAAATTTTATCTTATGATCATTTAAACTGGATCCACCTGGCTCATATATTTTCATCATAAAAATAAAAGACAAAATTAACCAAGAAATGCCCAAGTAGCATCGTAGTTGAGACCCAAGGGTGGGGTCTCAACCCAAGATTCCCACAAGGCAGAGACGTGGCAGAAGAGGGGCTTCTCAGAGATGGAAGGTGTGGGGTGGTTCCCAGGTTATGCACAAGTTCCAGATGGTGCAATGGCAGTTTGGGATGGAACTGGGAGGATGAGACAAAGTTACTAGCTCCATCCACCCAGGAGACTGGTTCCTTTTCTTTGCCATAGAATTCCCCATGAGTCAGGGTCCATTGCTTTTCAAGTAGCATAGTGCCTTGTGGTCAGTGTGGTGGGCCAAATTGTTTGAACATAGGCAACTCTCATCCTACAGGTTGTTTCTTTCACCTGGTGTTCCTCAATGAGACCTAGAGAGAGGAAAAGACATTTCAAGGATCTTTCACTCTCTGAGCCTGCTCAGCGTCATTATACATTCTCATTCGGTCATCAAAAATGTACTGGGTGCCCTGGAGTCTCAGTGCTGGGAACACAGACATCCTGGAAGAATTAGAGGTAGAGGGCACCACGGGATGCTTCTGTCGTTGCTACCGGATTATTCCAGAAACTTCTGAACAGCAAGAGGGAACATTTTTTTAGCCCTCAGCTCCCTGGTTGAACTCACCCAGTGTGTCAAAAATCCAAAGGGACTCTGAGAAAGCTCCAGGCATTCCCTGGCCACTGCTCTGGGTCCTCAGCAATGGGACCAAAACCTGTCAGAGACCCTGCCTGTTGGTCCTCAGCAGGCCTCTGCTGTTGGTCCTGGGGTCCCATGATCTTCGTGAGGCTAACTCAGCTGGCCCACAACACAGTTCAAGACTGAACTGACAAGTTCCTGGACATTGTAAAATCAGCCAAAGGCAAGCTGGCAAAGCTTGACCAGGAGAATTAAGAGCAATAGCCAGGCGCCCCCTCCTGGGCAATGTGGGCCATCTGTGTTTATGCATTTCCACTCCAGGTTAGAGGGTCATTTTCCTCTCCCTTCTTAAAAGTTTACAAATAGTTACCTACTATGTGTTGGCGCAGTGTAAGTTCCAAGCAAAGTCTTCAGCAAATAAGTACGTAGTCACAGGTAAAAATTATCTATGGACTTTTGCATGCTGCTTTAAGTGATCAGATCGTGCAAAATCCTTCTTGCATGTAATACACACATAGGGTCGCTCCCCGGTGTGTTTTCTCTTGTGTCGGCTGAGTTCATCTGAACGGGAGAATTTCCATGAGCATCCTTCCACATTGCACACATAAGGCTTCTCCCCTGGAACAGAGAGAGAGAGAGACTTATGCTTTAGGGTAACACAGGACAATGGAGAAGAAAAAGGTTTGAGCATGTGGAGTGGGAGAGCCATGGCATGACACTGGAGAGGTTAAGTAAAAGAATAGAAGGAGAGCAGCAAAGAGCTGGAAAGGTGAGGGAAAACCGAAGGAAAAGGAAGAGAAAAAGAAATAGGAGAAGCGAGGGTGAGTGGGAGAATGAGGGAGGGGGTTTCTGTTGGGCCTAAGGGGATGGCCATGAGTAACGGCCCAGGAGAGAGAGGATCAGGATCCTGAGAGAGCAAACATCCCTCTACTTATCCCACCACCCCCACACAACACCGCAAAAGGCTGCAGTCAGGTTGGCTCTAGGCCTTAACAAGTCTGTTCCTAGGACAGCTTTATCCGCCCTTTCAAATTTGCCATCCTTTTCTGGGACCTTCTGGGGACCCAGGCTTAGAGGGAGGTGGCAACAATCTCAAATGACCCCAAGGCTTTATAAATGTATATATCATTAGTCTCCCCATCCCTGGCCCCTCACTCACCAGTATGGCTACGTTCATGGACTCGGAGATGGGAGGACTTTAAATATGATTTCCCACAATCCTGGTATGTACATTTGTAGGGCTTCAAGGCACCAGAATTCTTTTGGAACCAACATCTCTTACTCTTGAGGTTCTGCTTCTGCTTTTCTTGGGATTGTCTTTGGATCAAAGGGGCACTTGAAGAGTACAGGAATCCTGGGTAAGATGACAATTGATATGGCCTCATATAGTCTCCATAGAGATTGTGGCCATTGGTGAAGATTGTCATATGGCCCCCCAGAAGGGGGTCCCCACAAAGGACCTGGTCACCAGTGAAAGTCATCATCTGGCCCCCATAGAAGGTCTGGTCATGAATGTATGTTAACATCTGGTCCTCAGGGAAGGTCTGGTCACCAATGAAAGTCATTGTGCTTTCTGTAAGAGCTGTGATCTGGCCTCCATTATGGGTCTGGTCAATATTCAGGGGCTTTATTTGACCACCACTGAAGTTCATTGGGTCCCCAAAAGAGGTCTGGTTCCCATTGGTCATGTGGCATCTATACAGGGCCTGATCATCACAGGGGTTCACCATCTGGCCCCCACAGAGGATCTGGTCACCACTGACAATTATTTGGCTCCCACTGAGGGTCTGGTCACTACTGGAAGCCACTGCATGGCACTCAGTGAAGTTCTGGTATGCACTGAAAGTCTTCGGGATATCAGTGACATCTGTCATCCAGGAGGTTGCTGTGGGATGAATCTGATCAGAGGAGACCACCTTCTGGTTCGTGGGAGAAGCCTCACTTGTGTCTTCAGGGGGCACAGTAAGGGCTTTCACCCAGTTCTGGGTTGTCTCTTGTTGGCTGTCTTCATCATGGACAGTCAGAGGCATACAGAGCTGTGGTTCTGGCACAGCCTTTTCTGTTTCTGCTGTATTTTTCTGTGTCTCAAAGAGATCCTGAAGAAGTTCAATTTCCTCTAATAGCTCAAGGAAGGAGTGTTTCGTGGTCTCTTTGTTGTTGCTTGATGACTGAAGTAGATCTTGAGTAAGATCCTGCAAAATAAAAAAAGGAAGTTAGAAATTCAAGGGTCTTACCTGCTCAAATCCCAGTTCTATACACCCTTGCCTAAATATCTAC